GAACCAAGAGACTCATGTAATGGTACAAGATCCCAATGATGAATGTAACTGTATTGTATACCTAAAATGTACCAATAAAGTTAATGGGGGAAAAAAAAAAAGAAAGAAAGAAAAACAAAACTAGGCAGACTCCTGAAAATGAAAGAAAATAGCTTGCTTTTCATTATAGCCTGTCCAATATACAGTCAACAGCTTGGTACAATAGCTCTGTAGAATAAAGCCCAAAGTAGTAAACTAAAACATCTTTTGAACTAAAAAAAAAAAAAAAAGACTTCTAGATTTAATAACCAAATTCAGTAGCATACCTGGATACAAAGTCAACAATCAAAAATCAATAGTATTCCTGTACACAAATAATGAACTAAGAGAGAAATTACGGAAACAACACCTTTCACAATAGCATCCAAAAAAATGAAATACCTAGGACTGGTGATTTAGCTCAGTGGTACTATGCCCCAGTACCAGGACAGGGGGAGAAGCGGTAACCCTAGGAATCTATCTAACAAAGGAAGTAAAAGACCTTATATTGAAAACTACAGTACTCTAAAAAAGGAGATTGAAGAGGATATCAGACAATGGAAAGATATCCCTTGTTTTGAGTAGGAAGAACCTAGAAGTGAAAATGACCATGCTTTCAAAATTATTATACAGACTTAGTGCAATTCTGATCAAAATACCAATAACATACCTCACAGAATTAATGAAAACAATCCTAAAATTCATTTGAAACTAGAAGAGACCTAGACTAGCAAAGGCAATTCCGGGCAACAAAGGCAAGGTTAGGGGCATCACAATCCCTGACCTGAAATTATACTACAAGCTAAAATGATAAAAGCAGCATGGTACTGGGGAAAAAACAGACTCAAGGATCGATGGAACAGATTTAAAAATGTAGAAACAACTCCAAACACATGCAGCCACTTGTGTGTGTGTGTGGAGACAGGGTCTATGTAGTTCAGACTGGCCTTAAACTTACTATGTAGCCTAGGGTAGCCTCGAACTCATGGTAATCCTCCTGCCTCAGCCTCCCAAGTGCTGGGATTACAGGCATGAGCCATCACACCAGGCAGCCACCTTATCTTTGAGAAAGGGGCCAAACACCTTCACTGGAAGAAAGCAGCCTCTTTATTATAATAATTGGAGCAGGAAAAACTCTTTTCACATCCAAAGATTAAAACTAGACCCCTATCAGGGCAGGGATTTAGCTCAGTGGTTCTGCTGCCTGCCTCGCAACCACAAGGTCCCAAGTTCAATTCCCGGTACCAAATAAAACAAAACAAAACTAGACCCATATCTTTTACCATGCACTAAACTAAAATAAAAATGGATCAAAGATCTAAATATTAAAACAGAAACACTAACTCTGCTGGAAGAGTGAATAGGTAGAATTCTTGAAGACATAGGAATAGGCAAAGACTTTATGAATAAAACCCAAATTACACAGGAAATACAGAGAATCAACAACTGGGATCTCATTAAAAAGTGTTTGCACAGCAAAAGAAACCAACAGAGTGAAGAGACAAACCACTGAGTGGGAAAAATTTTTTACCAGCTATTCATCAAAGTAATACTACCTAAAATAAAGAACACAAAAAGTTCAGACCTCCCAAGTTTAAAGACCTGATACAAATATGAGTATCGTTCAAGATACTTCTCAGATGAAGTAAAAACAGCATATAAATATATGAAAAAAATGTTCAACACCACTGGTCATTTGTGAAATGGACAATAAAACAACACTGGATTCTATCCCAATCCAGACAGAATTCAACCAATAACATGCTGAAGGGGCTGAGAAAAAAGGAACCTTTCTAGGGACTGGGGATTTAGCTCAGTGGCACCGTGCCTGCCTCCCAAGTGCAAGGTCCTAAGTTCGATTCCCGGTACTGCAAAAAAAAAAAGGAACCCTTCTCCACTGGTGGTGGGAGTATAGGCTGGTACAACCACTATGGAAATCAGTGTGGAGATTCCTCAATAAACTAAAATTAGAGGTTCCATTTGACCCAGTTATTCCCCCTCTTGGTATCTTCCCAAAAGAAGTAAAAGCATCATACCACAGCTATCCTGCTGACATACTCATTTTGGATTTCTTGTCTCTTGAATGATGAGAAAATAAAACTTCTGTTGTTCAAGCCATAAAATTTTTTTGTGTGTGTGGTACCAGGGATCAAACTCAGGAACTCGTGCTTGCGAGGCAGGCACGGTGCTACTAAGCTAAATCCCTGGCAAAGCCATAAAAAATTAATGGCATCTCTTAAATATACTAAAATAAAATATTTCACAGTAGGATATTATTCAGTAATTTCAAAAATGAGTAACATGGGACTGGGGATTTAGCTCAGTGGTTCTGCCGCCTGCCTTGCTAGTGCAAGGTCCCGAGTTCAATCCCCAGTACCAAAAAAGAAAAAAAGAAAAAAAAAGGAGTAACATTTAATTTATTTTTAACAAACAAGTTAAACCCCAAACAACAATATAATTTACTTGCTACTTTTGAGATTTTTTTCTTTCATCGGGGGGGGGGACATTGGGACAAGCGCTCTACTACTGAACTATTTTATAACTGCTTTTATTGGGGTTTTTTTCTTTTGGTTTTTTTGGTACTGGGGATCAAACTCGGGTCCTTGCGCTTTCACAGCAGGCGGTGAAACTGCTGAGCTAAATCCCTGGCCCTGTATTTTTTTTCCTCTGGTACCAGCAATCGAATTCAGGACCTTGTGCTTGCCAGGCAGATGTGGCACCACTGAGCTACACCTCCGGCCCTTATAACTGCTACTTTTAAAAAGGAGAGGAAGAATAAATTTGAGATTTAGAGTTTTAAAAAAAGAAAAGTACCAAATGAAAATGTTACAATACTTAGATAAACAGGTTTATTTTTTAATATCAAACCATTTATTGGTACATTTTAGGCATACATAATAACACTCATCATAGGGAATCTGCACATGTACATGATACATTCTGCCTTTTTCCCCTTCGTCTATGTATAAAAGCTTTGTTTCCATTTTTCCTTCTATTTGCAGTTTTTTTCTTGTCCCTTCCTTCCTTTCTCCCTCCCTCCCCCCTTGTTCTCCTTGCCATTTGAACATTTTCTTCCCATTTCCCAATGTCTACTATAAATTTTAGTCCTTATTTCCACTTTTGGTTTCTCACACCAGAGAAACAATGGGTTATTTAACTTTGTGTATCCAATTTATTTCACTTAAAGAGTATGGTCTACGGGGGATTTAGCTCAGTGGTTTTGCCGCCTGCTGTGCAAGCGCAAGGACCCGAGTTCAATCCCCGGTACAAAAAAAAAAAAGTCTCACGGTGAATCCATTTACCTATAAATGTCTGAAGTTCAGCCTTTTTACAGCAGAGTAGTACTCCATTGTATAAAAAACCCCCACATCTTCTTTATCTATTTGTTGGTTGATGGTCTTGGCTGTTTCCAAGTTTTAGCTATTACAAACTGTGCCACCATAAACATGGGTGTGAATATATTGCTGTGGTATGATGCTTTTAATTCTTTTGGGAAGATACCAAGAGAAATAGCTGGGTCAAATGGAACCTCTAGTTTTAGTTCTTTTTTTTTTTTTTGGTACCGGGGATTGAACTCGTGACCTTGCACTTGCGAGGCAGGCGTCAGAACCAGAGCTAAATCCCTGGCCCTCTAGTTTTAGTTCTTTGAGGAATCTCCACAGATTTCCACAGTGGTTGTACCAGCCTGAACTCCCACCAAACTGGAAAAGGGTTCCTTTCTCCCCACAGCCTCACCAGCATTTGTTATTGGTTGATTTCTTGATAGCAGCCATTCTTTCTGGATTGAGATGGAATCTCAGCATTAATTTGCACCTTTCAAATGACCAGTGAAGTTGAATACTTTTTCATATATTTACTGTTTCTACTTCTTCGTCTGAGAAGTGTCTATTCATTTCAGATGCCCATTTTTGGACTGGATCTTTAAATCTGGGAGCTCTGATTATTTGTATTGTTTATTTGTTCTAGGTAGTAGTCCTCTGATAAATAGCTGGCAAAAAAATTTTTTCCCAGTGGTTTCCCTTGAAAAAGCTTGATAAATAGGTTTAAAAATGTTTTTTAGATGGGGTCTACTGTTGTCCTGGTCTCAAACTCATGGCCTCAAGCCATGCATTCATCCATTTCAGCCTAAGTATCTGACTAATCATGTGCCAACCATACCTGGCTAAAAGATTTCTATCTGAATTTCAAAAAATCAATGCACTATTCAAAGTACATAAAAATGTCTTAATCTGTTATTAAACTGCACTATTCACCTGTTCATAGTGAAGTAAACAGAAAAAGGTTTTCATTTAATTTCTTCTTAAAAAAAAGTCTGTCAGGGCCAGGCCTAGTATCTCAGGCCTGTAATACCAACAGTCTGAGTGTGAGGCTAAGGCAGGATAATCACAAATGCAAGTCCAACCTGGACAACTTATTGACTCAACAAGACCCCATCTGAAAATAAAAATTAAAAAATGGATTGGGGATGCAGCTCATTACAAAGGCGAGAGGTTCACTTCCAGGGCCTCAAAAAAATCACAATGCACAAGTTTTATTAACCATGTTCCCCCTTCCCAAGCATTCCAAACTCACTCAGAAATAACACAAGATATCCAAGTACTTTAAAATGCAAGGCTTTTAATTCAGTTTCTGGTAATGACCATAAATGCCTCCACATAAATGCCTCCTCTTTTTCACTGTAAATAGAAGGTACTAGGCATTACATAAGACCCTTAAAGCAGTGATTCCTTCTAATGCTGGTGGACATAAAACATTAAATGGCAGTTTAGATGTTAACAAAGTCTTCTAAAAAATAAAAAAAAGACTGCTCAAAAACCACACATAAAAAATTAAGTTACCAGTCAGTCTTTCTCAGATTTCCAATGCAGCTTTAAGTTATTCTTACAAGTACATAATTTGAAATTAAGAGAGAAAATGGACGAGTATGTTTTTCAACATGTGTTAAGTTTCAGTTAAATACAGTAAGTATGAAGATACCATTATCATGCTAATGGGCATCTTTTGCTACTCTTTAGCTGTGCAAAATAAACCTGAAATGATACATCCTGTAGTGGTACAATTTTTTAAAGACACCTGCTATGACACAAACAATTTTCAAATTCTGGTCATAAACTGTATATAAATTGTAAGATTATTAAAATACAACTTTTTGAAAAATAATAAGATGACCATTTATACCTAAATAAAGTTTCCTAGAAAGTTATGAAATACTTTAGCATATAAAAGTAGTCGCCCCTCTCTGAAGGGACAACTGTTGTTTCACAAAATAACTTGTATGATCCAAGGCAATTGATTTCTTCCAAATGCCAAATTCTCTCTATGATTTGGAAGTATCCTTCAAGAGACTGAATCCATTAAAAAAAGGGCACATTTGGGGATCAGACCACACTTAGAAACATAAGGAACCTTTCTTGGGTCAGGAATGCCCTTACGTGTTAACAGCAACAGCGAACAAGAGATAGCTTCTGAAGCCATTTCTTTTACAAACACATACAACTAAATTTGGTGGTGTAGAAGGTAATTAAGACACAACTATTTACATATGTGCTACATTATGTGTTCCTATTTTAAATACTGGCTTCTGCAGGACACTCCCACTCAAACATAGACCAAACAATCTTACTATACCAAATCACATTCTTCTATTTTTGGCAAGGTAGTATAAACAAAAGAAAAATAAAAAACAACAACAAAGAGAACTAATGATTCAGGCAAAAGTTCTCATGTCAAACAGTAACAAGTAAAGTGTTCTGAAAAAGCTGGGCGTGAGGCGGAGGATGTAGCTCAGTGGCAGCGCAGCACCTACCTGGAAAGCTCAAGGCCCTGAGTTCCTAGTACCAAAAAAGAAGAAAAAAAGACCGAAAAAAAAAAAGTCCCTTAAAAAAAAAGCCGGGTAGAGCCAGGGATTTAGCTCAGTAGTTCCAGCGCCTGCAAGCGCAAGGTCCCGAGTTTGATCCCCAGTACCAACAAAAACAAAAACAAAAAAAAAGCCAGGCATGGTGGGGCATGCCTGTAACCCCAGCACTTGGGAGGCTGAGGCAAGAGGATCACTGTGAGTTTCAGGTCAGCCTGGGCTCCATACTGAGTTCAAAATGAGCATGAACAAATAGCTAGACTTGTCTCAAAAAAACAAAAAAAAGGCCAAGAATTTAGCTCAGTGGCACCACACCTGCCTCATAAACACAAGGTCCTGAGTTCGATCCTGATACCAGGAGGAAAGGGAAAAAAAAGAAGTGTTCTGAAAAACATGAATTTTGGGGAAATAGCACTGCCCAACAAATGATGTGGGAAATCAATTTTATAATCACTCAAATGAGTATCACATATAAGACTTACAGATACCTTAAAAATAATAGTTCCACTTAAAAATAGCTAATTATGAAGTTCATAATTATTAAAATGCCTTCAAAAACATCCAAACTAATTAGTTTATATAGGCCCAATTAGTAAAATGTAAGAGAAAATAAACTTTTTCACAATTAACAAAAGATGCTTTCTTGCCTTGAAATTTTGAAAATGGTAAACAGTGAAATGAAAATCTATATGACAAATGAAAAAAACGACATCCCTACTAATAGGCAAGATGGGGAGCAAGAAAAATATTTTTAAGCAGTGATTATTCAATAGAACGCCTTATGAAATTACACATCATAATCAAGCTAAGAAAAAGCTTCAAGACTAGCAGCTGGACTCTGAAACATGTAGGACAACAGAAGGCACTACATAAGCATCAATTACCTCTAACTATAGTTGGACAGTTCAGTCTTTTCTTTTGTAAGAGGATGGCCAGTGTGAATGTTATTTTTATATCCCCCTGAGCTTTAACATGATTGGGCAAAGCAGCACCAATTTAAAAAAAAAATATCTGCAATGCCAGCACTGCAGTATGGAATCACTCATACTGATGGCCCCACAGGTCTCTTATAAGAGCACTTTAGAACATGATTAAAAATATAGAAATGCCTTTCAGTATTTCAGTATTAAAGTAGAACCACCACAAATATCCATTTTTAAAAATAATGCACTAAAAAGGTCTATTTACACAATACAGTCTTCCCACCCTATATCTCCTGTTCATAGCTATTTTCCACTCTGCTGCCATGGGGAGATCTCCTTTGGGTGTCTATCGAAACGTCAGTATGCTTCGTGCTGCACAATCCATTTTGGCTGGAAAATCCTGGTAAATTATCATGTCATGCCCGTCTTGAGCAGTATGCTTTGAAGATCCTCTGGCAACGCTAAGATAATTGCATCTATATGTGTCCGTAACTTTTCCATAGTGTCTGGTTTCACAGGTAAATGTTCTCGATCAGCCTGCAACTACATAAGGAACATTTGGCAGTATTTAAATGAACCTATATTTATATACTATATTCTCTATTGTCTCATTTTATTTTTTATTTTTTTGGTACCGGGGATTGAACTCGGGTCCTTGCACTTGCACAGCAGGTGGTGAAACCACTGAGCTAAATCCCCGGCCCTTCTTTTTCTTTTTGAGACAAGGTAGTTTTGTAGTTCAGGCTGGCCCTGAACTCACTATGTAGCCCAGGCTAGCCTCGAACTAGTGGCAATCCTCCTGCCTCAGCCTCCCGAATGCTGATATTATAGGTGTGTGCCACCATGTCCAGCTATATTATATTCTCTATATAAACAAGTTTAATGGTATAACAATGTGGAAACTTTAGTCTTAGACTAAAATTAATAGAAAGTAAAAAACAAGAATATGCTGTTTAAATACATTGCTAAGCTCAATAAAAGGTATCTATATACATTTGTAGATAATACGATATTAAATGCAAGGTGACATTTTTGTAGAGTTCATTAGACTCTATGTAAATATCTCTAGAATAATATTACATCATTATGATCTGCCTGAGGACCTCTGATTCAAAAAGATTTTGGGTTTTTTTTGGTTTTTTGGTACCAGGGATCGAACTCGGGACCTTGCGCTTGCGAAGCAGGTGGCAGAACCACTGAGCTAAATCCCTGGCCCTCAAAAAGTTACTTCTGAGACATATCACAGATTTTCAGTTCAAATGGGAGGAAAATAACTTCACAGAAAGATCAATTTGATTTTCACCTGATTTGGCTACATACCAGCTTATTTTTCAGCTTCAATACAAGGTCTACTGTTTCTACTTCTGTGTGTTTTTGGATCCAGAGAAGTAGGTCCTAGAACAATAAACAAAATCCAAATCACTATTTACTCAAAATGATATTTATACCTCTGCTTCAATAGGCAAGGGTGATGGGAAAGAAGGACAAGAAGGGAAAGGAGAGCAGGGTATTTAACTCAGATATAGAATTATAGTACAGAATAATTCTCATGATATCCTAGAAATGGCCAATCAGCTAACATTCAAAATTAGGCAGAATAATGGTCTAATACTTGGAAGTAAAACAAAATGTAAGAAAAGTCCTTTCTGAGGTGGCCCTTTTAGGTAAAGAAACAGAAAGCAAAGTGTAACTCAATGCAGTACTATCCTCCCCCCTACAGAAATGAGGAATTTATGAGGAATATTACATAACAAATCAAGATGAATAAACATGAATGCATTACAGAGTGGAAACTTGGCATCTTCAAATAAGCTCTTCTTGGGCTTACTTTGTGGTTGCCTTTGTTGTATTCTTTTTCTGAAAGCTACAATCACTGGAAGTTTATTATTAGAAACATAACATTGAGGTTAGTCCACCTCAATTTTAAAGTTAAATAAAAATAAGGTTATCATTTATATTTTCACATGTAGTTTAAAATAGGATGGTGCGCTAAATCACAGAATATGAAAAATCAGTCTAACAACATGAAGAAAAGTTTATACTAACTGGAAAGGGTAAGTCATAAGGCATAAGAGCTGGAGTTAGACCGCTGGGATTGGAATCCTCTCTCCGTGGTGTGCTGGAAAATACTTAACAACCAGTTCTTCAGAAAAAAATGTCTAGTTCATAACATTTGACAGCTTCTGTGGTGTATACTCTCACTGTAGATGATTTCAAGCTACCAACTGAGGTCACTAAAGTCAGAACTGGGAAAAAATATCCACAATTAGCTCTTCTGGACCAATGCAAGTCCATTCTAGTACACTTCTTGCTCTACTACTTAGCAGTGATGTGAACTAAGGCCAAGTCACTCACGTTCTAAGCCACAGGTGTTGTATAATGGAGATCATAAATGCCTACCTCAATAAATTGTGAGGATTAAAAAAGAGTATCTGGGGCCAGGGATTTAGCTCAGTGGTGCTGGCAGCTGCCTGACAAGGCCAAGGTCCTGAGTTTGATCCCCAGTACCAGGGGGGAAAAAAAAAGAGAATCTGATTAAAGCACCTACACATTCCCTGGCATGATACATAATCTTTGAATATTGGCAATTTTTACTCAGTATAAAGAAGTAGATATGGGTATTATCTTCAACCTCTAAGGAATACTTTATTTTTACTTTCAACAGTTGTTAGTCATCACACGAACACACTATTTTCTAACCTCTTCACAAAGAGCTTCTAGATGGAGTGCCTCCAATTTTTGGGTGATTTCTTTCCGCCGGGTTTTGAACCAACCATCAAAATTTGGAGACTTCAGAAAATGCCTATAAAAATAAATTTTAAAAAAGCAAAGTTTGACTATCATTTATTTCCCCTACTTGTTACCTTTCTGACAGCTCAGAAAACCATAATAAACAATAGAATTTTCCAGAAAGAATCTAAAAGTTTAAGGCTACTTTTTTTCTTTCTTTTCTTTTTAAATAAAGATCTGCAGATGAGTGGAAAGGAAGGGGAAAAGACTAACCGGTAAAGTCCAATCCAATCGCCTTTTATTCTAGAGGTCAGCTGAGGTCCTGCTTTTTCAAGTGTTTTCATAAATTCTTCTGGAAGGAACTGTCTTAATTGGGGTGGGCTCTAAAGGACAATATATACTATGCTTACAAACTAGAAGTGTACGGTATATATTCAAAGAAGATCATTGCAGGTACAGAATTCAAATAGGAATTTATTGGAATATTTATACCTTCCATGGAGAAATAGTTTTCTGCAAAGGCATCAGGCTTGCCACATATCTTTCCTAAAAACAAGGAAAAAAAGTCAATAAAAGTTAGGTATTCTTACCTATACAGTCTTATACAGAGGTCTTAAACTTTTTCTTCTCAAGGTGAGTCATAGTAACTCTAAGCTGCTGACAATAAAGAAAATCTCTGGGCCGGGGGTTTACCTCAGCGGTTTCCCCGCCTGCTGTGCAAGGGCAAGGACCCGAGTTCAGTCCCCAGTACCAAAAAACAAACAAACAAACAAAATAACCTGAGTTCGATCCCTGGTACCCCACCCCCAAAAAAAGAAAATCTCTGACCTACTTTGTCTGACAGTAGAAGGTTAAGACCCCATTTCAGAAGCAGTTCTGCTCAATACCTGTGAGGAAGGAATGCTGAGAATCTGGACAGAACTTACAGGCTTCTCTACCCAGTCTATCAGCATTAGATCATACCCTTTTTGTGCTATCACATTTTGACACAGTACCCATGCTTCAAGCATGCCTATACAATGAATTCTCCATAAAAACCCAAAAGACAAGCTAGGGGTGGTAATGCATACCTGTAATTTCAGCACTCTAGGAGGCTGAGTCTGAAGGATCACAAGTTCAAACCCAGACTGACAATTCAGTGACTTAGCAAGAGCTTTCTCAAAAAGAGAGGGAAAAAAAAATGTAAAGGCTTGGGATATAGCTTAGTGTGAAGGCCTTGGTTCAATTCCTAGGACTGCAAAAAAGAAAAAAGAAAAAGAGTTTGGAGAGTTTCTAAAATAGCTGAGGTTCCTGGAGGGCAGTGACCCAGAAGCTCTGTACCTCTTCCCCCGCATCTTGCTCTGTATGTCTCTGTCTGTATCCTTTGTAATATCCTTTCTAATAAACCTCTAACTGTTATAATAAACCTGTCCCTGAGTTCTGTGAGCCACTCAAGCAAATTTATTGAGCCTCAAAGAAAGGATTCTGGGAATCTCAATTTACAGCCAGTAAGAAGCATAGGTGAAACAATTCAGGGTTTATGACTGGTATTTAATGGAGGGGGCATATTGTGGGAATTGAGCCCTTAATCTTCGAGATATGATGCATCTTCAGATAGTACCAGAATGGAATTAGAGAAGATCCAGCTGGTGTGTGGTTGCTTCAGAATTGATTGTCTGTTTCCTGGTGGGAAAAAAAAAACTCCTACCCCTCTTGGAGTCACAGAAATGATCTATCTGTGTAGTAAGAATATAATAGGGGAAACTGAGTCTGAGTTTTGCTAAATTCACTATATTTTCATCATACGTACTTTTTATGGAATCAACACCCCCATCACTCTCCATAATCTATAGAGCTAAATTTAGATTGAGTTAGGAAGTCACATATTCAACAAAAAGTTAACTAAATTCGGACAATCCAAGAAATTCTTTTTTGTTTTCTATTTTGTATTTTGTTTTTTGAGGCAGGATCTGTTGCCCAGCCTGGTCTCAAACTCATGGGCTCAAGTGATCCTTTCACCTCACCCTGTTAAAGTAGCTGGGACAACAAGTGCATGTTACCAGCCCTGGCCCAGATTTTAATGAAATAATTAACCTTACTGAGTGCCAGAAAACGTACATAACATTTCATATGTGTGATCTCCTATACTCCTTGCAGCTATCCTATGTGTAGGTATTACTGAGAAACTAAAACCAAAAGGCTAAATAACCTGACCAAAATAACCCACCTTAGACATCAATTCATGCCTACATGAGTTTAGTCTATAGTCTTTTTTTTTTTTTTCTTTTGGTACTGGGAATCAAACTCAGGACCTTGTGCTTGTCAGGCAGGCACAAAGTCACTGAGCTAAATCACTACAGTACAGTTAATTTACTTACATAGATTTTTTCCCCTATAGTGTTAGGGATTGAACCGAGAGCCTCACATACTAGACAACTGCTTTACCACTGGGTTATAACCTCTAGTCTGACACACAGGTTTAAATGGAACAAAATTGACTGACATTCTCAGACCAAGAAAGATTAATTCTTCCTAAAATGAATGGCAAAGACCTTCATGTTGTCCCCATAGGATGTTCATAGGTAAATTATATTGGTAACTATATAAAATCTATGATTGAGTTTCCAGATTAGGACTATATCATGATGCTGCCTATTTGTTTATATGACATTTCTCTGAGTTCCTTAGAATAATCAAATCATGTAGTCATTTATTCTACAAATATTTGTGTTGAATGGTTTCAAGCCCTGAAAGAAAACAACCTCTAACCCAGACTGATATCCTACAAAAATGAATAGTATTTTTCTACACCAATAATCAATTCACTGAGAAAGAAATTAGGAAAATAATACTATTCACAATAGCATAAAGAAAAGTTAAATACTTAGGAATTAACCTAACCAAGGAAATGAAAGACCTCTACAGTGAAAACTATAGTACTCTGAAACACGAGCTCAAAGAGGACATCAGAAAATGGAAAGATATCCCCTGTTCCTGAACAGGCAGAATATTGTCAAAATGGCCATGCTTCCAAAACTGATAACATAGATTTAAAATAATCCCAATCAAAATACCAAAACCATTCCTCCCAAAGCTAGAGAAAACAATCTTAAAATTCATATGAAAGGACAAGAGATCTAAAATATCAAAAGCAATCCTGGACAACAAGAGTAAAGCAGGAAGCATCACAACCCCAGACTTTTAAGTTATATAGTGACAAAAACAGCATGGTACTGGCACAAAAATAGACATGTGGGTCAATGGAAAGAAACAGAGGATGCAGAAAAAACCCTAGGCACATTCAGCCATCTAATCTTTTTTTTTTTTTTTCGGAACCGGGATCGAACTCAGGTCCTTGCGCTTGCGCAGCAGGCGGAGAAACCACTGACCTAAATCCCCGGCCCCAGCCATCTAATCTTTAACAAAGGGGTCAAAAGCATTTTCTGGAGGCAAGACAGCCTCTTTAACAAATAATGCTGGGGCTGGGTGTGGTGGCACACCTCTGTAGTCCCAGCTCTTGGGAGGCTGAGTCAGGAGGATTGCCAGAAAATTCCAGGCCAGCCTGGGTTACATAGTGAGTTCAAGGCCGGCCTAAACTATATAGCAAGACCATGTCTCAAAAAAAAAAAAAAAAAATCAAGAGACTAAAGTAGCAGTATTCAATTATAGACTTGAATATTGGGGTTGTAGCTACAAAGTAAGTGCCAATCATTCTAGAAACTAGAGAGTTACAGTAAATTGTTATAGATTCTATCATGAGACCCTGTCTCAAAAAAACAAAGATGCCAGGGAAAACTGGCATTCTATATGTTGAAGACTGAATCCAGACCTATATCTCTCACCATGCACTAAACTAAAATGAAAATGGATTAAAGACCTACATATTAAAACAGAAAGAATCATCTAGAAGACTAATAGGAAAAATTCTCGAAGACACAAGCACAGGTAGACTTCCTGAACAGAACCCCAATAGCACAAGAAGCAACATCCAGAGAGTTGAATGTGGTGGCACATGACTATAATTGCAGCATACGGGAGGCTGAGCCAGGAAGACTGCCGTGAGTTTGAGGCCAGCCTGGGCTAGTGAGTTCAAGCCCAGCCTGAATTATAGAGCAAGACCCTGTCTCAAAAAATCTCCAAAAAGGACCCGGGATGTAGCTCAGTGGTACCACGCCTGCCTGGCAAGTGTAAGGTTCTGAGTTCGAGCCCCAGTACAGAAAAACAAAAAATCTCCAAAAAGCAAAAAATCAAACAAAATAACATCAAGAATCAACAAATGGGATCATAGCAAATTAAAAAGCTACTGCACAGCCCGCCGCCTGCTTCGCAAGCATAAGGTCCCGAGTTCGATCCCCAGTACCAAAAAAAAAAAAGAAACAAAAAGCTACTGCACAGCAAAGAAAGCAATCAAGAAAGTGAAGAGATAACCAACAGAATAGGAAAAATTTTGCCAGTTACTTATGAGACAAAGGACTAATATCTAGAATACATAAAGGACTCAAAAAATTAGACTCTCCCAAAATAATACCCAATCAAAAAATGAGCATTTGAAATGAACAGACACTTCTCAAAAGTAGTACAAATGGCTAATACATGAAAAAATGATCAACATTTCTGCACATTAGAGAAATGCAAATTAAAATAACATTGAAAGTTCATCATCAATAAATCAAATAATAAATTCTGGAGGGGCTGTGGGGAAAAAGGAACCCTTGAACATTGTTGGAGGGAATGTAAAGTAGAACAACCATTATGGAAAAGTATGGAGATTCTTCAAAAAACTAAAAATAGAAATTCCATTGGACCCAGCTACTCTCCTTCAAGGTATCTTCCCAAAAGAATTAAAGACTTTATATCACATGTATATCTATGTGTTCAGCAGCACAATTCCTAATAGCTAAATCTTGGAAGTGGCCTATATGCCTATCAACAGATGAATAGATAAAGAAAATGTGGTCTTTAGACATGAAGTACTATTCTGCCATAAAGAAGGATAAATGAGTCATTTATAGAAAAATAGAGGCACTTTGATCCTATAATGTTAAGTGAAATAAAACAGACACACAAGCTTAAATATTGCACGGTTTCTCTTATTTGAGAAACCCAAAATATAAATAAAGACCAAAATAAAAGATAGTTAATAGGAAATAGGGAGATAGATCTTTTGCAAAAGAAAAAGAGATGAAGAGATGCAGGGTGAGGGGAATGAGGGGGGAAAGGGGATGAAAAAAAAGGATGAAGACGTGTTATATACATGTACTAGCTTGTAACAGCAAGGAACCACATATATGCAGCCACAGAAAGTTGAGGTTCGGATCCACACCAACAGAAAAAAGCCACATCATGACTTTATATAGATGAGATTAAGTTTTTCATAAAAGTACAGCAGATATGAACATAGCCTAATAATACATTACCACACAACAAGGCAAGGGACAGCACCAAAGATGAAAGGAATCCTCTGGGGAAGGATATTGTATGAGACAGAGCCTTCAGCAGGTGAGAGAGAAAATGCCAACACTGTACCCAGTTTGTTAGTTTTTTAAGTACTGTGTTCAGACAAAAGTGGCTTGGTGCCAACAGGCCTGCATGTCTTACAGCAAAGTGTCTTGGGTCTGGCTAAAAGCAAGGAGATTCTCACAGTGCTCTCAAGACTATCTGTACATAACACTTCTTTCCCAGGGGAAATGGCCAGTTTCTCTGCAGAAAGGCAGCAGCCAAGGTCATTTCAGTGAACACCTGTATCTCACCGACTCTCGTCACTTTTATCCCTTTCCCTGACACAGCTCCCCATGAGGAATGTAATCGTTATGTAGTGCAAGTGTGTACTAATAAAAAAAAATTGAAAAACAATTTATGTGCCACCATGTGCCAAACAGAGACAATGCTAACGGGCAAGACAGACAGAGTTCCTGTTATCATGGAGCTATAATCTCACGGCTATATGAAACTGTGTTCCAGAGACAATTATCAGAGACAGAAATTCTATAGTAACTCTTGCTTAAGGTGCAAAACTCAGTAATGGCGTAATATTTCACATCAGTTTGGCTGAGTGCACGTGCTTCCCACTTGGACAGACCTGCACTAAGGTATGGAGCACAACTGCAGCCCATCACCTACCATGCTCAAGCAGTCAGAGCCACTCTCCCAGCCCACGTCACAAAGCAGCCCCCAATGCAGAAGGAGAACCTACATGGCTACTGGATAGAATTATACTTTAGCAATAATGGAAACTGGAACAGCATTCCAGCCAGTATCCATTTATAACAGCGATGTGGAAGAAATATTGCTGGGTGCTCAGCTTGAGTCTGGATGCGGTAGCTCCAAGAACTCTCACTGTGGCGGCCACCTCACTCATGGACACCATAAGAGCTTCTGAAACAGATGCCCACGGCACTGGAGAAAGCAAGAACTCTTAGTCCCAGGAAGAGGACAGATAAGAAGTGGAAAGCATCCTGAAGAAAAACTCACGTAGGATACAAGACTGGTCAAGCTGGCCTGACAATACCCCTCGAACCTCCAAGTTCCTCTTTAAGTACCCAAAGTACACCATGAAATAACACCAGCTCTAGGAAGAAAGAAATAGGCATCCTTCTGGAAGAATTTATAAAGTGTTTTGTCTCTGAGGTTCCCTCTGCTGGCCATAAGATTGGGGAATCTGGAAATGCCATCTGACAACCTCCACAAGCACCTTTTAATGAATTAGATCTGATTTTGTTCATATGGTAATTTATCATCTGAGCTGATAACATAATACGATCCTTGGATGGCTTGCAGTACTGGTTTATTCTGTAAATGCTGCAATCCTAATTTAGTAAAACCAAGAACAGACACTAAAATTAAACTAACCTATACTTATACCTATAAGATTAATCAATATATCAAGCTGATTAATCTCTACTGTAGCAATATGGTAGAACATTTATTTGGATATTAGTTATAACTACTTAGTATAAATAACTTTAGTACACTAGTTATGATATATTTTGAAAATTACAATGTAAACTTTAAAAGAATGAATACAACTGATATTAAAATCACTACATTAAGAGGTTTATTCAAAATAAATATTTTGGCCTTATAGTCACAGGATTGTAAAAATATTAGGTGTCTAATTTAAATGATTGCAGGCTGTCTACTAAAGACTATACTTAGTCAAGGTGGTCTGCACACCTGTAATCCCAAGTACTCTGGGAGGCTGAGGCAGGCAGAGGCAGGTTTGAGCCCAGCCCGACCAACTTAGCAAGACTACCTCAAATATTAAAAGGGACTGGGGATGTAGCTTAGTGGGAAGGCCCTGGGTTCAATCCCCAGGAAAGAGAAGGAAGGAGGGAAGAAGTAAAGGAATGGGGAGGAAAGGAGGGAAGTAAGCAAACTACATTTAACTATGCTAATTGTTCCCTTTCTTTTCTTTTCCTTTTTCTCTTTCTTTCTTTCCATTCATTCATTCATTCATTGTGCTATGGATTGAGCGTGATACTTATTCTTAAGTAAAAAATAAAAATCAAAGTATAGCTACAAACTCCACTGTATAGTTCCTACATTAAATTGGTTTTGCAATTTAAGAACTTCAACTTCTGACTGTTGACATCTTAGGTGACTTACATACCTTAGGTGATCAGATTTCTGTCAAAGGCATCTTCTTGTTAAGTTTTTTTACTTTTTTTTTTTTTGCAGTACCGGGAATCAAACTCAGGACCTTGCGCTTTCAAGGCAGGTGAGGCACCACTGAGCTACAACCCCGGCCCCAGTTTTTTTACTTTTTATTACTCGATTGTTGGATTTAATCTCATGATTTGTGTTCAATTTTCTTAAAACCAGCTTTAGTCTAAGCAAATTTGTGTCCACTTTAAAAGACTAGAAATAGAAAAAATTAATTTTTGCCAAATTTTTAAAGTTCCTATCAATGATCTCATTTAAGGTTCACAATAACCCCAGCGTAGTGGCACATGCCTGTACTCTCAGCTATTTGGGAGGCTGAGGCACGAGGATCACTTGAGTCCACAAGTTTGAGAACAGCCTAGGCAACATAGCAAGAATACATCTCAAAAAAACAAAATGTTTTGGGCTGGGGATGTAGCTCAGCAGCGCCAAGTCTGCCTGGCAAGTGCGAGGTCCTGAGTTCGATCCCTGGTATCAAAAAAAACAAAACAAAATTTTTTTTTCACACAAAAGCTATTTAGGGGAAACAGAACCAGCCTTATATACAAATAACAAAACTGAGTGTCCGAGGTAAGAAGCAACTTACCAAAGTTGCACAATTCACACAACAACAACAACAAATCCAAGTCTTTTGCAAAAGTCTCTCTGAAATCACTAAACATGAAAAGCATACAACTTAAGGTTAGGAGGATGGGAAAAACATTTATAATACCCTTCAAGAAATCATCAAACTAAGCAAAGATCTATTTGTTAACTTACTAATGGAATGATGAAGCTTTGTGTCAGTTCCAAAAAATAGCGTCGAAGAATAATGCTTTGAGCCTCAGAAGGACGTTTCTGTTGTACACCCTTAAAAGAGGAGACAATGAGAAACTTGTATTCTAGTGTCAGGAAACATAAAACAATAGGCAAGTACCAAATTCAAACGCTCTGTAAATACACATTTATAATCGATATTAAAAAAAAAAAAACCCTGGAACTTCAACTCAAAGTAATTTAATTTGAAGTGTATTGTGTTACATCATGTGAAAAGAATCTCTTTTTTTTTTGGTTTTCGTTTTTGGTACTGGGGATCAAACTCAAGACTTTGCACTTGCGAGGCAGGTACCACTGAGCTAAATCCCCAGGCACCCTCCCCCACTTTTTTTTTTGGTACCAGGGACTGAACTCAGGACCTTTCGAGGCAGGTACTGGAACCACTGAGCTAAATGGCCGGCCCATGTGAAAAGAATCTTTAGACAAAGCTGGAGCCAAGGAAGGAGGCAAAGGAAGAAAGGCTGATCAATGGGTAATAAGTTATAGTTAAGAGGAAAAAGTTTTGGTGTGCTATTGCACAGCAGGGTGACCACACATAACAATTATGTACTATAATCTCAAAACCCTAGCAGAAAGGATTTTGAATGTTTTCACCATAAAGAAATGATAAATGTTTGAGGAGTCAGATATGTTTAACCTGATTTAAATATTACATAGTGCATATATATCAAAACATCAAACAAAATTAAATTATTAAAAATTAAAAATTTTATGTTTTTAATATATCAGTTAAAAATTAACTTAAAAAAGAATCTTTAGTGCAAAACCCAGGAGACTTTAGCATAGGGATGACAATTTTATTTGCTTTTTTATCACCTGCTGCACAAGCACAAGGACCCAAGTTCAATCCCCAGTACCAAAAAAAAAAATTATTTGCTTTTTTTTTTTCTTCCTGTACCAGGGATCAAACTCAGGACCTTGCTTTTGCAAGGCAGGCGTGGCACCACTGAGCTAAATCCCCAGACCTCATATTTGCTACATTAATACTATTTATTTTTTTAAATGCTACTTATCTCCGACTATTAGATGTTAACTACCTCATGATAGAATCTATGACAATTCATTATAACTCTCTAGTTTCTACAATGATTGGCACTCATCTGTAGCTACAACACCAATATTCAAGTCTATAATTGAATGCTGCTACTTCAGTCTCTCGATTCTTTTTTTTTTTTTTCTTTTGAGACAAGGTCTCACTGTGTATGTAGTTCAGGCTGGCCTTGAACTCACTATGTAGCCCAGGCAGGCCTCAAACTCACTGTGATCCTCCTGCCTCAGCCTCCGGAGTGCTGGGATTAAAGCGATGGGCCACCATGCCCAGCTTTTCTCAATTCTTATGAAACTTTGGTTTGAAAGTGAAATTCCATTTGATCCCCAGTACCAAAAAAAAAAAAAAAAGGAAATGAAAGTGAAATTCCATTTCACGTTATTATAAAAAAAGCACGTACTGCCTAAATGGATATTCTACACCTAAACAAAGAGATTTAAATTAGTAATATAAGCAAGTAATTACCTTCTGTAATTGTTTTATGATCTCTTCATCTCTATTTAGATATGGCTTGTAAGAAGTATAAACTCCTATTAAAAAAAAGAAGTATAAACTCCTAAGAATTGAAGAAAAGAAGGTAAATGGAAAAACCCAACTATGCAGATAAGCATATATTTAAAAATTAGTAAAAGTCAATACCAGGTTTAGAATCCAGAGTCTTTAGGTTCTTCAGTTTTTTCACTTTAACTTGCTTAGGAATTTCACCTGAAGGAAACATCATAAACAACCTTCTAATTATAATCATAACATATTATAAAATTGGAATTTTCTAAGATTAATAATCTATGGGGCTATACATTAATTAGAGGTGTCATCAACTAGAGGACCGGGGATTTAGCTCAGTGGTTTCTCCGCCTGCTGCACAAGCGCAAGGACCCGAGTTCAATCCCCAGTACAAAACAACAACAAAACAACAACAAAAAACATCAATTAGTATGTAAGAGTTTATTCTTGGTATTCACCCCCTCACACACTGTCTGCAATCAAACTCAGGACCTTGCGCTTGCCAAGCAAGCTCAGCACCAATGAGCTAAATCCCTGGCCCTTATTCCTGGTATTTTAAAACTGGATAAAGGAAATATTGGATTCTTATAACAGTACAGAAACATTAATGATCTTTCATTAATACATACCTATCATTACTTAAATTTTTCCCTTTTTGTTACTCAATCTATAGTGTAAAATTTGTGTCAAACATATGAAATCGAAAATTTATGTGCCAAACAGGAATAAAATATCCTTTTAGAGAAATGGAAAAGAAAGAAATTCCTAAAGGACTGCAAGATACACTATTCAAATGGCTTTTTCTTTCCTTTTTTTTGATCCCAGGGATTGAACTCAGGACCTTGAGCTTGCTGGGCAGGCCAGGCACCACTGAGCTACATCCCCGGCCCTTCAAAAGGCTTTTTCTGATCTCTCTCCAAATTCTGCTTTTGCATGTAGAAAAAGCCCTGCCACCAAGTGGTGATAATATATGCAACCACAAGTCTGAGCCACATCCAGAACTGAGTCAGCTGCCATGCTGAGCAGTCTGTATAATCCACAATGGCCCTGGCCTTGTGGTCAAGGGAAGCTAAACAACCTAAACAACTCATAAAATGCAGAAAAATGCCTCAAGACACAGACATACCTACTGAAGATTTTTTTCCTCTCTTCCCTTTTCTGCAGAAGAATAAAATAATCTCAGAATTGAAAGACAATCTAGAGACTGTCTAAATTTAAGCCTCTACATTTATAACATATTTTTCTATCTTTTTTTTTTGGTACCAGGAATCGAACTCAGGGCTTTACACTTGCCAGGCAGGCGCTGTACTCTTGAGCTACATCCCCAGCCTTGCACTTGCGAGGCAGGCGGCAGAACCACTGAGCTAAATCCCCAGCCACCTATAACATATTTTTTATGCTAAATCATTCATTACAAGATCAAACTGCTAGTTTGGGTATATATAAGCGTATGTATGGGGAACATTTTCACTTGCAATCATGTTGTTCAAAAATTTTAAGAGCATGTATTATTTATATTTCTATAAACTTTTTACTTTGAAATAATTTCAACCCTTCAGAGAAACTGAAAAATAATATCATCAACTTTGCTGGGCATGGTGGTGCATGCCTGTAATCCCAGCACTTGGGAGGCTAAGGCAGGAGGCTTGCCATGAGTTCAAGGCCAGCCTGGACTACACAGTGAGACCCTGACTCAAAAA